TTAGGAGATTTCAACACACCACTTTCAGTAAAGGATGGAACATCTGGAAAGAAACTCAACAAACATACAGATCTAAAGGCCACAATCAGTCGACTTGACCTCATAGACATATACAGAACACTCCACCCAACAGCTGCAAAGTACACATTCTTTTCCAGTGCACGTGGAACATTCTCCAGAATAGACCACATCTTAGGCCAAAGCAACCCTCAACAAAATCTAAAACAGTGAGATAATACAAAGTATCTTCTCTGATCACAACACCATCAAAGTAGAAGTTAACAACAGGAAGAGCAAGGAAAAAAATCAATTAAATAGAAACTAAATAACACCCTGCTTAAAAACCACTAGGAATAGAAGAAATCAAAGGTGGAATCAAATTCCTAGAATCAAATGAGAATGAAAACACATCATACCAAAACCTTCAGGACACAACAAAGACAGTGTTCAGAGGTCAATTTATAGCAATAGATGCACACATCAAAAAAGAAGAAAGGGACAAAATCAAACCATTAGCTACACAATTGGAACAAATAGAAAGAGAACAGCAAAAGAAGCCCACAGCCACCAGAACAAAGGAAATAATAAAGATCAGAGCAGAAATAAATGAAATAGAGAATAGAAAAACAATAGAAAGAATCAACAAAACCAAAAGTTGGTTCTTTGAAAGGATCAACCAAGTTGATGTAACATTGCCAAATTGATGAAAGAAAAACAGGAAAGGGAGCAAATAACCCAAATAAGAAATGGAATGGGGGACATTACAACAGACCCAACTGAAATAAAAAGGATTGTAACAGAGTACTATGAAAAACTATACTCCAATAAATTTGAAAACCTAGGAGAAATGGACAAATTTCCAGAAACACACTACCTACCCAGATTAACACAAAATGATGTTGAAAATCTGAATAGACCCATAACGAGAAGAGATTGAAAAGGTAATAAAAAACTCCCAACAACAAAAAACCCTGGCCCAGATGGCTTCACTGGAGAAATCTACCAAATGTTCAGAGAAGAGCTTATACCAGTACTACTCAAACTGTTTCAGAACATAGAAAATGAAGGGATACTTCCGAATTCATTCTGTGAAGCCAGCATAACCCTGATACCAAAACCAGGCAAAGACACCACAAAAAAAAAGAAAAAAGAAAATTACAGACCAATGTCTATCATGAATATAGATGTGAAAATTCTCAATAATATTCTAGCCAATAGAATTCAGCATCGTATCAAAAAAAAAAAAATAATACAGCATGACCAAGTGGGATTCATACCAGGTATGCAAGGGTGGTTCATCATTAGAAAATCAATCACCTTAATCCACTACATAAATAAAAGGAAAGAAAAGAATCACAAGATCATCTCAATTGCTGCAGAAAAGGCATTTGACAAAGTCCAACATCCATTCCTGATAAAAACTCTCAATCAAATAGGTATAGAAGGGAAATTCCTCAACATAATAAAGGGCATCTATACAAAACCAGCAGCCAACATCATTCTTAATGGAGAGAAGCTGAAAACATTCCCCTTGAGAACAGGAACAAGACAAAGATGCCCTTTATCACTACTCCTATTTAACATTGTGCTGGATGTCCTAGCTAGAGCAATAAAGCAAGAAAAAGAAAAAAAGGGCATCCACACTGGTAATTAAGAAGTTAAACTGTCCCTATTTATGGATGATATGATACTATACATAGAAAACCCAAAAGACTCCATGAGAAAACTACTGGAACTAGTAGAAAGATTCAGCAGAGTAGCAGGATACAAGATAAACATACAAAAATCAGTTGGTTTCCTATACACCAATATAGAGAATGATGAAAAGGAAATCAGGAAAACAATACCATTTATAATACACACTAAAAAAATAAAATACTTAGGAATAAATCTAACCAGGGACGTAAAAGACCTATACAAAGAAAACTACAAAACACTATTGCAAGAAACCAAAAGAGATCTACATAAATGGAAAAACATACCATGCTCATGGATAGGTAGACTCAACATTGTGAAAATGTCAATTCTACCCAAAGCAGTCTACAAATACAATGCAATCCTGATCCAAAGACCAACAGCATTCTTTAAAGAGATGGAAAAACCAATCATTAACTTCATATGGAAAGGGAAAACACCCCAGATAAGTAAAGCACTACTGAAGAAGAATAAAGTAGGAGGACTTGCACTACCTGACCTCAGAACCTGTTATACAGCTACAGTAGTTGAAACAGCCTGGTACTGGTACAACAACAGATACATTGACCAGTGGAACAGAATTGAGAGCCCAGATGTAAATCCATCC